CAGTATGGATGACAACTCAATGTAAAGAAAACCCAAATCCTCACAACTGAATCAACAGGTAACATCATGATAAATGGGGAAAAGATTGCTGCTGTCAAAGTTTTTGTCTCGCTTGAATTCACAATCAGCAGTCAATGCATTACAGACGATGCATTACATTGGGTAAATCTGCTGCACAAAACCTCTTTAGAGTATTGAAAAGCAAGGATGTTACTTTGAGGACTAAGGTGTGCCTGACCCAAGCCATGGTATTTTCTTTCTTTCTTCTTCTTTTAAATAATTTTATTGGGGGATCATACAACCCTTATCACAATCCATACATACATCAATTGTGTAAAGTATATTTGTACATTCATTGCCCTCATCATTCTCAAAACATTTGCTCTCCACTTATGCCCCTGGCATCAGCTCCTCATTTCCCTCCCCCCTCCCCGCTCCCCCATCCCTCATGAACCCTTGATAATTTATAAATTATTATTTTGTCATATCTTACACTGTCTGACGTCTCCCTTCACCCACTTGTCTGTTGTCTGTCCCCCAGGGAGGAGGTTATATGTAGATCCCTGTAATCAGTTCCCCCTTTCCAACCCACCCTCCCTCAACCCTCCTGGTATCACCACTCTCACCACTGATCCTGAAGGGATCATTTGTCCTGGATTCCCTGTTTCTTGTTCCTGTCTGTAGCAGTGTACATCCTCTGGTCAAGCTGAATTTGTAAGGTAGAATTAGGATCATGATAGTGGGAGGGAGGAAGCATTTAGGAACTAGAGGAAAGTTGCATGTTTCATTGTTGCTACACTGCACCCTGACTGGCTTGTCTCCTCCCCATCACCCTTCCATAAAGGGATGTCCAGTTGCCCACAGATGGGCACATTCCCCTCATTCTCAATGATATGAATTTTCTGTTCTTTGATGCCTGATACCTGATCCCTTTGGCACCTCGCGATCACACAGGCTGGCGCACCTCCTCCATGCGGGCCCTGCTGCTTCTGAGCTAGATGGCCGCTTGTCTACCTTCAAGACCCCAGACGGCCATGGTATTTTCAATAACTTCATAGGCATGTAAAAGTTGGACACTGAATAAGGAAGACAAACGAATTGGTGCTTTTGAATTGTGGTGCTGTGAAGAATATTAAAGATACTGTAGAGTGCCCCAAAAAACCCCAAACAAAGCTGTCTTGGAAGAGACATCGTCAGAATGCTACTAAGAGGCAAAAATGGACCTATTGTCAAGAGAGACCAGTCCCTGGAAAAGGACATCATGTTTGATCATGAAGAGGGGCAATAAAAGGGAGGAAGCCCCTCGACAAGATGGATTGACACTGGGGTTCCAACAATGGGCAGAACAGTTGTGCAGATGGTGCAGCAGTGGGCAGTGTTTCTGTGGGATGTAGGGCTGCCCTGAGTCGGAACCCACTCGGTGGCACCTGACAACCACCATCTAGAAAGAGAACTTCCCTCTTTCTCCACAGCCCCAATACTGTACATTACTTACTGTGTTCATGTCATTTCACAAAAATGAGAACATACCATCGTTTGTTTTGTTTTTGTGATTTACTTACTTTGCTCAGCATAATGTCTTCCAGCTTCATCCACATTGCAAAATGTGTAGCAGGTCAGATTATTTTAATGTAATTATAGGTATTATAGGAGTTGAACCTACCATCTGCTTCCCCCACCCTATTTTTCTATCTGTTCTTTTTATCCTTTTTATATTCTCGTTTTTCTTCATTCTTTTGAATTAGTCAATTATTTTGAAAATTGTTCAATGTTATACTTTTTATTTTACCTGCAATTCTTTGTTTTCTATGTTTGCAGTTACATTGAGAATTACAATACGTATCTTTAACGCACCATAGCTTTACACTTAAGGCCTGTCCTCTTTAGCATATCATCTTAGTGAGAGGGTGTTCATTGAAGGTTGTCCTGTCTGGCCTGTTCGAATTCCAAAATTTCTCAACCTTACAGAAACTCCCCAGTCATTGTTCTATGTTGGGCTGTGCAGGTTTGCTGTGTGTGCGCACAGTTTAATATTCACCCACCTTGGTATATTCCTGGAGCCCCTTCTTTGTGCAGCTCTGATAGCTGGTGTTCTCTTCCACCATTTTCACGTGCTTTGTCAGTACCACTGCTTGATCTCTGTTTCCTCAGCTCATCAAAGCTACTGTCTTCTGCTCAGGCTCCGACCACTTTGACCAGGAAACTCACCTTGTTTCCTTCTTATGTAGGATTAGCTCCTGAGCTCCTGTTATGTCTGAAAGCCATTGCTACTTATGTTTTATATTTGTTTTCAGCAAGAGTCTTAGTATGATTCCAGTTCCATTATGAAGGCTAAAAGTAAAAAGAGTGAAGTGATTTTCCCTTTTTTATATATAATTGTATTGGCATTATGTGGCCTTTTACAGGAAAAATAACTTTAAATTTCCAAAATTGCAGTAATGGAAAAACCAGAACTCCAATATTCAGAGTCAATAGCTCCAAAAATCTTAGACCATTTTTCTCCAGGCTTCTTTGGTACATTTTGAAAGCATTAACATTGATCCCCAAGGCACTGGCAAAATCTCTTTGAAAGGTACCAGTGGGAGATAACTTTCACTCTTTTAATAATAACAATCATTAGCTACAGGATCCAGAGGCATCAGTAGTGCTGAGATAGCACGGACACAACCAGAGAAGAGGAAAGAAAATGCGAGACATCACTTTGCGGCTCTAGTCCTAAAACAGGTGAGTTATTCCTATAATTAGAAGTCCGATGAGAGAGGAAATGATTCTTTAGGATAAATATTTCCCTAGTTTTGGTAAACCTAATGACAGCTGGAGGAATAGATATTTTGCCAAAAGGTCATTGATACCGTGCTTGTGTCCCTTCTCACTGTTCCAGTTACACCTATTTGAGAGGACACGATACATACAACTTTGAAACCTTCGCTTTTCTATTAAAATGATCTAAAACACATCTCCAATGTCAGAGAAATTTCTTCACAAATTTGATGATTGGATAATATTCTATAATAAATGATTCTATAATAAATGATTCTATAATAAATGATTCTATAATAAAGGCTTCAGAAAAGAGTATGCTCTCTTAAGGAAGACCAGTCTCTAAAGGAAGACTGTAGCCAATAAAGATGATTTCATAGAATGAATTGGTTATAAAACTTTTATGTGAGCCAAGATCTCAAAATTATTTTTCCCATGTCAGTGTGTCTTTTCTTTTTTAAGACTACCAACCAAAACTAAGACAAGTGTAATATTGACAAAATTTTTCTGCTGGTATCTACTTATTACAGAAATGTGTTTAAATCTATTTTGTTGGGAATAAAATCTTATACGTATGAGGTGGGACCCTAGTATCAATTTTTTTTTACTTTTTTATCCTCATAGTATTGTCTTTAGTGTACATGCTTTATTGTCCAGCAAAGTTTGCCTTTCCAAGGTTAAGTTACGTTTCCCAAACCAAGCCCACTGTCCTGAAGTCAATGATGATTCATAGCAAGTAGGCTTCTGTGAGTTTCCAAGACTTAAGTCTTTCCAGGAGTAGAAATCAGTGACGTGATTTAGCTCTCTGTTTCCCTACTAGCATTGTCCCTCATGTGCTCTTTCTCCCACAGAGATGTTAGTGGTTTCCAACTACTGTGTGGTTAGTTAGCATCCCAAGCATAACCACTACACCACCATTTAACTAGAGCATACTTTTGAAAACTGAAAATCAATTTCCAGATATTAAACAAATTTAATGCCTGAAAATTATTTCACATGTTTTTCAAACGTATGCTATCATTACACATGAGCCCTGGTGGCACTGTAAGTTAGGCCTTGGGCTGCTAATTCCAAATCCACCGGCCACTTCACGGGAGACAAGTGAGAGTGTCTGCTCCCATACAGTTTTACAGTCTCAGATGGCCAGAGGGTATGTTCGGAGAATGAACATTTAATAGCATAATTTTATGTAGGAGTAATTTCATTACACTAATCAGCCATTTCCTAATCATATGTCTATACCTTCTCCCCATTTGGCGGTGTATCGGTTATGCATTAGGCTGCGATCAGAACCATGGACAGTTTGAAACTGCTAGCAACTCTTGGCTTTCTTACACCTCTAAACATTTTCAGTCTTTGAAACCTGCAGAAGGTCACTATGAATCAGCATTGACTCAATGGCAGTGAATGAGACTCCTGGCTCACCTAGTCTTGTTACCTGTAATTTCATATTTATAACAATAGTAAAGTTTCTAATGTCCAACTATTTTGGACATTGATAATGTACATTTGGCAGTAATGTTGGCTGTGATGGTTAAGGTAATTTTTCAACTACACCAGGCCATGATTCTCAGTGGTGGCAGTTGAGGTAATTCAGCAGTGTCTGATGATGTAATCATTCTCTATATTGTGACTTGATGTGACCATCCTCTATTTTTACATAATACAGATTTTTGTATAACAATCAGGCCTTTGGAACCTGGCCATGTCAATAAGTGATTAGTGCATATATATGGAGCCTTCACAGTTTTCATAGAAGGATACCTTGATTTTTTAATTCCATTTCTCCATGAACTTTTTGAAATCTCCACATACATGCATACATGTACTCATCACCTATCAACATGGTTAGGTTCCAAAATCCAAGCTATTATTAAAAAATCTGTATTATGCAAATATGAAGGATGACCACATCAAATCACAAAATGGAGGATGATTACATCATCACATGACTGCCACGTTACCTCATTCCAAAACTGCATTTAGTAAGATCCACATAAAATTTCATGTTCTAGTAGCAGAAGTTTCCAAGAAGACGTACACAACATCATACTCTGTAAGCATTGGCATTGAAGAGAAGGTTGTCTTCCAGTTAGAGCTAACTGATCAGAACAAAACTTTTCTCTTCATTATAAATGAACACCAATTGTACAGCAGAAGCCTAAGAACATCAATCTTTTCTATAGGATTTACGGGGTTTTCTTTTGCTTATCTAAATAGGCACACAGGAATAAATATTAATGGGAGAAGAAAACCAAACCTTTGTGACGGAATTTATCTTCCTGGGCCTGTCACAGGACTTGCAGACACAAATCCTACTATTTGTCCTTTTTCTCATTGTGTATCTGTTAACTGTGCTTGGAAACCTGCTCATCATCATTCTCATCCACATGGATTCTCGACTTCACACTCCCATGTACTTTTTTCTGCGATATCTCTCTTTTGCGGATCTCTGTTTCTCTACCAGTATTGTCCCTCAAATGCTGGTCCACCTTCTGGTAAAGAAAAAGACCATCTCTTTTTGGGGGTGTATGACACAAATCATTGTCTTTCTTCTGGTGGGGTGCACAGAGTGTGCACTGCTGGCAGTGATGTCCTATGACCGCTATGTGGCTGTCTGCAAGCCCCTGCACTACTCCACCATCATGACCCAGCAAGTATGTCTCATGTTGGCTATTGGGTCCTGGGCTAGTGGCGCTCTAGTGTCACTGGTGGATACTACCTTTACTTTCTGTCTTCCCTATCGGGGACAGAACATAATCAATCACTATTTTTGTGAACCTCCTGCCCTCCTGAAACTGGCTTCAGCAAATACCTACAGCACAGAAATGGCCATCTTTGCCATGGGTGTGGTGATCCTCCTAGCTCCTGTATCCCTCATCCTTGTCTCCTACTGGAATATTATCTCCACTGTGATCCGGATGCAGTCTGGAGAGGGAAGACTCAAGGCTTTCTCTACATGTGGCTCTCACCTCATTGTCGTTGTCCTTTTCTATGGATCAGGAATATTTACTTACATGCGACCCAATTCCAAGACCACAAAAGAGAGGGATAAGATGATATCTGTATTCTATACAGTGGTAACGCCAATGTTGAATCCCATCATTTATAGCTTGCGGAACAAGGATGTCAAAGGGGCTCTCAAAAAATTAACTAAAACAAAGTCTTCTTCTCAGAGGCAATAACTTCTTTAGATATATGATAACTTTCTTAATAGAGGAACAGGATTTCTTTGGAGTTATGAATTTATTCATTTCAGGAGTAAGCCTAAAAAAAGGAAGACGTGTTCTAGAAATTGAGAAGCCCTCACAATAACTGGAACATAGGGAAGAAATAAACAGTTTAAAAGTAACATTATAACCTGATTATGAAAGGCTTCAAGTGCTAGTTTGAGCAATATTTCTTTAATTCAGATGCCATGCCTCTATGAATTGAATAATGTGCCCCTAAAATATATATTGAAATTCTAACCTTGGTACCTGTGAATGTAATCCTTTTCTAGAGATATGTTCTTATACTTTATTATATTGATGAGGTCATATGAATGGTTCCTAAGCTTACACCCTCTGAACGGTGTCCAATAAAGGAGGGTCCAAAGAGAAACAGATGCTTAGGTGAGACCCTATGTGATGATGGAGGAAGATGTGTTGGTAAGCAGAAAAAAAGAAACAAAAAAAGAAAGAGCCCAAAATTGCTGTGAGTCATCAGGAAAGAGGCTCACAGAAAAGATCAACACAGTGTATTTGGACTTTTGGTCTCTAGACAGGAAGAAAGTAAATTGTGTTCTTTAAAACTCCGCTGTGGTGTTTTGAATGGCAGCTCTAGAAAAGTAAGACACGGGGACACACAAGGGGTAACTCCCCCCCACCACACACACACACAAAAACGGATTTTTGCCCCAAAGGTACGTATTTAATTTTTTATATATAAAACAGCCTATTCACGTTCAAAGTACTCTCTATTACACTTAGTACACTTGTCAAATCTACAATTCCATTCTTGGAAACATTTTCAAACTCATCTGTTCGAATGACTGACTTTTTTCTTCACCTCTTCTACATCGCCAAATTGCTGTCCTTTCATGACCCTCTTCATTCACAAAAACAAAAAGAAGTTCAAGGAGTGAGGTCAGGTGAGTAAGGTGTGTGGGGCAAGAGAGGCAGGCTGTTTTTTTGTCAAAAACTGGTGCACTGAGATAGCTGTGTGATCAGGTACACTGTCATGGTGGCAAAATCCATCCCCATCTGTCACAAATCAGGTCTTTTTTGTTGCACACTGTTAGGTAATCTTTTCAGAACCTCTAAATAGAAAGTTTTATTAACAGTCTGACCTGGTGGAACGGACTCCAAATGCACTACACATTGATATTTTCATCCATTCAGGAAGTTGATGGATGTCCAGAATGAGGATTATCATCAATCAACATTTCACCTTTTTTGAAACCAGAAAACCACTTGTACATGAGTTTTTCCCTTAGTGCTGTTGCTGTAAGCTGTGTTCAACATCACACAGTTTCTGTGACATCTTTCCCGAGCAGAAAATAAAATTTCACAGCTACATGCTGTACTCTTAAATCAGCCATCACAGAAAAACCGAGGTTTGAGCGAAACTTCTTTTAAGAAAAAATTCACTGTGACCAGAGAGAACCTTACCAGGTGACACTATTGGGTGCACTAACTCAGTTCACCAGTTGCTCAATGCTCACCTAGCAGGAAAAAGCCCAGTGGAGCTTTTTTCCATGTTTGTTTTTTTGGTGGGGGAGGGGGGGTTCCCCTGCATATATGAAGGGTAGTATGAACTATAGAATGCTTAAACTGGTTTGTCTCAAAATAACATCTGAGTTACATGTTTGGTTCTAACATCAAAGAGATTTCAAGTTTGGATTCCATGTCATGCAAAACTGGAAATAAACTCTCATTAAGACAAAGAATCATTTAATACTGGAGTCATTTATGGTCCAATCATCTCACCTGTGAAACAATATTAAAGATTTAAATATATTAAAGCCAATAGTGCTCCCTTGTTCATGAGGTTCTACTCTGAAAGCGTCAGTAAAAAATATGTCTTTGATATCATCACTCCAAAATTTAAATAAGTGTTGAAAGGGAATTCCAGTCCTATAATTCAAAATTGATTTGTAGTTTAACCACTCATAGTATCAATACTGAATAATTATTCAGCATTGATCAAAAGTGGAATAATGGAATTCATTGCTTTCTGGGATCATTCTTTCATATACGCATGTAATGGTTTTTTTACTATTAAAAAGATTATCCTTATGGAAAATTAAAATTAATGTTCCTGTCTTCATCTCATTGTCCATAGTTTTATGCCTAGAGCAATCTTCAGCACTTTTCTATATCACAATTCTCTGAAAATCAATTTCTGTGTTTTCTCAAATTCAGCTCTCCTAGACAACCATCTGCTTATTCCTTTAGCTAACACACTTTGGCTCCCAACATTCATCCTGGCCATTCTCTTTAATAAACCCAACTTTCCCAGTGAGTATCTCTTGAGAAATTAGAATTTTAGAAATTGGAGTTTTGTCCATTCTTGGTAGGCCTTCTATAGGCTTACATTTATATATACCATGTAGTACTAAGAGTCCCACCATAGCATGGTAATTTCCAGAATCGTTTTAGTTTCACATGAACTTTTAGTCCAAATAAACTGAATGACAGCAACTTCCCTTTTCCACATACTGTTCTAATCAATAACATGGTAATCATTTTGAAATTTCCAGGAGTCTAGCTAGAATTCAGCTAGACTTGCCCACTGAAAAAATGTTTAGTAGATGAACTTCTTGTTTCTTTTACTCAGGAATTCATGTAACCATGCATCTATTTAAAACTATTTAGTCCCCAAAGGACGGGTGGGCAAATAGTCATAAAAGTCCGTGGACAGACCTGGAATTACATATGCTTTTTCATATATTTTTATTTTTTTGCTAGTTTCTTTTTATTCATTCTTTTGTTTTCTGTTTTGTCACTGTTAATGTTGTTTTGCCTACCTATATATCACAGGCATGGGAAGGAAGCCCAAGGAGAAAGAATGGGACCAGCAGTTCTGGAGGGACCCGGGGGGAGTAGGAGGCGGAGAAAGGAGAGGTAACAATCAACAACATAGACAGGGGAACAACTAGGGAATTAGAAGCAATAATGAGGAGGATGTAGAGATTCTGGTGGTGGTGGAGCAACAGCAATCTAGCTGGGAGGAATTACTAAGAGGCAAAAGAAGGGTGAGTGTGATGATGGGGCAGGAGGAAGGTAAAAGGAAACAGGAAAGCAAAGGTATGGATAGAGGTATAAACATGGGTGTACACGTATGTAAATATATTAATTCATAAAAATGGAGATATTGGCCTATGTACATATATTTATATGGCAATACATTGAGGACGTGGATGAACTTTGGGCCTCTGGTCAAGCCCTCCCTCAACACAAAAACACTTTGTTCTACCAACCTAGCATTCTGTGATGCTCACCCTCCCAACATGACCGCTGAAGACAAATTGGGTGCATAAGGAAATGTGGTAAAGAAAGCTGGTGGTGCCTGGCTATCAAAAGATATAGCATCTGGAGTCTTAAAGTATTGAAGATAAACAAGCGGCCATCTAGCTCAGAAGCAACAAAGCCCACATGGAAGAAGCACACCAGCCTGTGTGATCATGAGGTGTTGACAGGATCACGTATCGGGCATCAAAGACCCAGAACAAAAAATCATATCAATGTGAATGTGGGGGAGTGCAGAGTGGAGACCCAAAGCCCATCTGTAGACAATTGGACATCCCCTTACAGAAGAGTCACAGGAAGAAATTATGCAGTCAGGGTGCAGTATAGCACCAATGAAACATACAACTTTCCTCTAGTTCTTTAGTGCTTCCTCCCTCTCCGCCCCCACTATCGTGCTCCCAATTCTGCCTTAAAATCCGGCTAGACCAAACCATTTACATGGGTACAGATAAGAGCTGGAAACACCAGGAGTACAGGACAGATAAACCCCTCAGGACCAATAATGAGAGTAATAATACCAAGAGGGTAAGAGGAAGGTGGGGGGAGAAAGGGGTACTGATCAAAATGATCCACATATAACCCCTACCAGGGGGATGGACAACAGAAAAGTGGGTGAAAGGAGACATTGATCAGTGTAAGACATGAAAAAATAATAATAATTCATAAATTATCAAGGGTTCATGAAGAAGGGTAAAAAATGAGAAGCTGATACCAAGGGTTCAAATAGAAAGAAAATGTATTGAATATGATGATGGCAACAAATGTACAAATGTGCTTGACACAATGGGTAGATTGTGATAAGAGTTCTATGAGCCCCCAATAAAATGATTTTTTTTTTAAAAAGAAAGAAAATGTTTTGAAACTGATTGTGGTAGAATTTGTACAACAATGCTTGATCTAATCGAATTATGGAATGTTATGACATCTGTAAGAGCACCCAATAAAACTATTTTTTTTTAAAAAAGATATAGCATCTGGGGTCTTAAAAGGCTTGACGTTAAACAAGCGTCCATCTGGCAGAGAAGCAACAAGCCCACATAGAAGAAGCCCACTTGCCTGTGTGATCATGAGATGTTGATTGAATCAGGTAGCAGGTACCAGAAGACCCCCCTCCAAGAAACGAACAAACAAACAAACCATATTGTTGAGAACCAGGGGGGTTGGAGCAGAGACCCAAACCCATCTGCAGACAATAGGACATCCCCTCAAGGAAGGGTCACAAGAAAGGGATGAGTCAACCAGGGCACAGTACAGCACTGATGAAACGCACACTATCTCTCAGATTCTTTGAGGCTTCCTCTCCCCCCACTATCATGACCCTAGTCCTGCCTTTCACTACGTGCTAGACCAGAGCATGTATACATGTACAGATAGAGCTCATGACACACAGAATCCAGGTCAGATAAACTCCTCAGGAACAGAAACGGGAGTAGTGATACTAGGGGAGGAAGAGGAAGGTAGAGGAGGAAAGGGGAACTGATATCAATGATCAATGCATAATCCCCTCCCCCAGTGGGATGAACAACAGAAATGTGGGTAGAGGGAGACAGCAGTCAGTGTGAGATATGAAAACAATAATAATTTATAATTTATCGAGGGGTCAGGATGGTGGGAGGGGGAGAAGGGAGGGGTAAAAAGAGGAGTTGATACCAAGGGCTCAAATAGTAAATGTT